GAAAGATGGCCAAGCAATTAATTTTTCCTTAGAACTTAGCTTGTCTCTGCATTCCAATTGGCTTTAGACAACTGGCATTCATTCTCCACTATACAAACAGAAACTGATTTATTTGGAACAAGCAACAAAACAAGAACTTTATTTGGTGCTGGGGCTCCACATAGCTCTGCTACTCCTCATCTATTGTGAAGGCCCCCTCTCCCATCTATTCTCTATGGTAGAAGCTTGTCCTCCACCAGCAGTGTCTTTACCTCTTTCCGCTTTTTCCTTTCCCTCTTGTTAGTCCTCATTTCTTTCATCTTTTGATAAATATTTAGTACAGTGCATTCCAGTAAGTGCTATTTGGATATAAAGTGAACTTAACAGTTTCTATCCTTTAGGGATAGTAGGATCTTTTGGGAGAAGGCATAGGACTGAAGTACCCCAGCTGCACAGCCTGCAGCCAGTGTCTTTTAAACAGAAAAGCCAGGGTGATTGATGGCTCACACTCTGGGAGGCTGATGCAGGAAAACTGCTGTGTTTGTGAGCAGGCCGTGTTACACAGTGTGCTCTGTGCTAGCTTAAGAACACATGTAAGACCCTGTCTCAAACAAACAAACAAAAACCAGAAAGGAAGAATGCTGGTCATAGCCCATATCCCAGCACTACAGAAAAGAACCAAATTTTACTGTTTTCAGCTCCAAATAATGGCATTAATTCACACTCTTCATTAGAGTAAATGTAAATCAGGGACTTCAGATTAAAAGAAGAAAACACTGTCCTGAGGTTCTGTCTGCAAAAAGCTCTATAGATCTAACGTATGAACACGCTCAGTCTCATTTCTCTATAGAGCTAACGTATGAACACGCTCAGTCTCATTTCTCTATAGAGCTAACGTATGAACACGCTCAGCCTCGTTTCTCTTCCTCTTTGTTGCAGGGGACTATTCTTCCCCTTTCACATCCCTTATCAAGAACACCAACCACCAAGCGCCTTGCCAAATTCTTAGGCCCACTCAGGACATAAGTTTCTGCATGGCTTAATAGAAGACAGATAATCAGGATTTCCCACCCCCACCCCTGCCTTTCTAAAATTTTTATTTAAATGCTCTCAGTGGTCATAGGGCAGAAGCCCAAGCTAGCTGGGGATAAGGGAGGCCGCCAGGGAGAGTATGTTTCTCATCCCTGGGAGGCATTCAGCCTAGCTCCTGCGGCCAAATTACAGCAGCAGAGAACAATGCAGTGCATTCCTGGGCAGGTCGGTGGGCCCTGGGCGCCTGGGTCTGGTGGAGAGAGGTGCCAGACACAGAGTGCTCCGTAAGCAACCCTGCAGAGCTGGCCCTGGGTGCAGAAATGAAATACAGAGAGCTTCACATTACACACCTGGTTATTGATGGCCTCGCTGGAGGCCTCTGCCCCCACCTTCCACTTGGGAACTGCCTGTACTGCGGGGGTTGGGCATCTTTGAAGCAATGCTGGAAAATAAGAAAGACATGCTTCCTTCTTACTCTTTGCCCTTCCTGTCAGCCTGAGCACAACCATGAGGACACACACACACACACTCATACAGAAGGTGCACTCAAAATGGATTCACACAGCTTTTCTCAGGCTGTATGGGAATTATAGTAGTCTCACCTCTCCAACAATTAAAAAGAAGCAACTAGATTCTACCCCCCCCCCCCAAAAAAAAAAAAAACAGGGGGAAAACCATGCCAGGAAGGTTTTAAAAAAACATTAAAC